CCCCCCTCCCGGTCCCGCCCCACGACGCGATCATGTGCCTCGTGATCTCGCGAGAGCGGCCGGAGCGGCGGCGGCGCAGGAAGATGGCGGCGCCGGGGACGGAGGTGGCGGCGGAGCCCGCGTCGGGCCCGGAGCAGGTACGGGCGGACCGGGGGTCGGGGGAGGCCGCCGACCGGGGAGGAGGTGACCTGCGGGGGCGGTTCTGCTCGGTGGCGGCTCCTTCCTCGGCTGACGGTACTGTGCGCCTTCCTCCCTCCTCCCGCAGGTGACCAGTAACGGCAGCGCCGGTAGCGGCGAGGCGGCGGCGCCGGCGGCCGAGACGCAGCGGCAGCAGCCGGCGCTCAACGCCTGGCAGGTCATCAAAGGCGTCCTCTTCAGGTGAGGCCCCGCCCGGTGCCACCGGCCCGACGACCCTCCTCCCTCCCCCCCCCGGCCGTGCCACGGGCGCCTCAAAACCGGGGGGCACGGCAGGGCTCGGGGTGGGCACGCCGCTCGTCCCCGCCATCTCCGGGGCACAGTGGGGTCCTGGGGCGAGCAGGTGGCTTGTCCCTTCCATCTCAGGGGCACAGGTGGTCCTGGGGGTGGGCAGGTGGCTTGTCCCCCCCGTCCTGGGGGCACAGCAGGGCCTCGGGGCGGGCAGGCCGCTCGTCCCCGCCATCCCCGGGGCACAGTGGGGTCCTGGAGGCACATCGGGGCTCCGGGACTGGCGGGTGGCTTGTCCCCGCCATCTTTGGGGTACAGCAGGTCCTGGCGGTGGGCAGGCGGCTTGTCCCCCCCATCCCGGGGGCACAGTGGGGTCCTGGGGGCGAGCAGCTGGCTTGTCTCCTCCGTCCCAGGGGCACATCGGGGCTCTGGGACTGGCAGACGGCTCATCCCCACCATCTTTGGGGTACAGCAGGTCCTGGGGGTGAGCAGGTGACTTGTCCCCCCCATCCCGGGGGTACAGCTGGTCCATGGGGCGGGCAGGTGGCTTGTCCCCTCATCCTGGGGGTACAGCAGGTCCTGGGGGTGGGCAGGTGGCTTGTCCCCCCGTCCTGGGGGTACAGCTGGTCCATGGGGCAGGCAGGTGGCTTGTCCCCACCACCCCAGGGGCACAGTGGGGTCCCAGGGCATGGGGGGCTGGGGCTGCCTGTCCCCACGTCTTGGGTGTCCTGCCAGGAGGAGGGAAGCCCATGGGGCTGCTTGCTCCCACCACCAGCACAGGGCTTTCCCTGAGCTCTTGAGCTCCTTCCCATTTTTTCCCTGGAACCCTGGGGTCTGGCTCGCCTCGGGCAGGAGCCGCTCCTTGCCGGGCTCCTCTGAGGAATCATTTACACTTCCTACACCCCGCTGCGGGGGATCCAAAGTCCATGCTGTGGCAGGGACGACTCCCGGCGTGGTGCCCAGCCCTGCCCCGGGTCGCTCCCGCTTCCGTGGGGAAGGAGAACATCGAGGTGTTTCCGCCAGCACGCCCGGAGCCCGTGTGGTGTGTTTGGGTGTGCTGCTCCTCGCCAGCGCCGCGGTGAGGAGAACGATGCCGGAGCTGCCGGATCTCGGTTCTCAGCTACCGAAGAGACCACAAATCCCTTTCTGGAAGCCACGACTCCTCCTCACGTCCATGAGCCGCTTTCCTGCTCTGCTTCTCCACCTTCCTGTCCCACCAAGGGCAGGTTTGGTCCTTTCCAAAGCCCTGCCTCCTCCGGCAGATCCGGTGTCCCAGCTGGGGGAAGAACATACCATTGTCTTGTCGCCCATGGAGCCTTGCCCTCAGAAGGACTTGGAAATACTCCACCCGTCACACTTGGGTGGTGGAGGAGACAAGAGGGAAAACCCTGAGCACGTGACGACCATGTCCCAAAACCTTCAGGAGAAGCCTTTCCTGGGTGCACAGCGATGTCCTGGGCCGTGGATTTAGGATTATTGATGGACCTTTGGAAAAGCTGGCAGTGAAGACTCTGTGCTGAGCCCCATGGGCTCCCTCTGCTCCAGCAGCACAGCCAGGAGCGTGTGGGGGGACGCTTGTTTGTGCCCTGGAGCTTTCCAAAATGCTCTTAATGAGGAGTTACGCCGAAGTAAATCCTGACGTATCGTGGGGTCTCCGGAGACTTGTCCCCACCGTGCGTGGAAGCACGGCCCCGGCCATCACTTGGTCCCAGGAGCTGTAGTTTGGTTGCTGGTGCTGCCCACCGTTCCACGTCTCGTTATCCCGGCGCTCCATGCGCAGGGCAGGAGGGGGAAGTCTGATTTAGTGGCACTTGGGGCATGGACGAAGGGAACCTCACACTTTACATGTTAAAAAAACCCACGAACTAGAAAACTGAAAACTCTTGTGCTGCCAAAAGCCTTCCAAAACAGAGGAAAAAGGCTCGATTTCTGTTAATGCACTGGAAGGCTGTTGCCTGGCTCGGCTCAGGGAGGGCTGTGGGGAGCACGCGGAAGGGACCCATCCCAGTCTCTGTGCTGGGAGCAGCCCAGGGGGCTTGGGAGAGCAATTCTTGGAGGTGGGGAACTCTCAGGGCTGGGATTTTGGGGGTGGGGATGGCTCTGCTCTCTGTGTGGCCGGGAGCACGCTGGGACCTGTCCCTCGCTCGTTGGGTGACTGTTGCTTGTGCCACCTGCCAGCTTTGTCCCATCCTGTGGCTTCGGGGTTTGTAGCCCTTGGTTTGGCATCGGTTTGTCTGGGGGGGGCTGAACGCCTCACCTGCGTGACTGGGGGGGTCTGCCAGGAGCTGGGGACACGCTGGTGTCCCCGTCCTGTCCCGGGGATGCCTTGTGCACCCTTCTCTGGGGCACCTTGGAGCAGGACTTCCTCGCTGTGTCCTTGAGGCAAGTGCCCAGCACCTTCACTCCTTTTCAGTGTGCTGGGGCTGGGGCTGAACTGGGACCAGTTTGCTCTGGCTGGTGCCTCTCGCCTGAGGGTGAACGCCAACTGGGATGGAAATGGGTGAAAACAGAGAGTTTTGAAAGGCGAACTCATCTGTCTGGCACTAATAATCTCCCTCCTCCCCGCCCTGGGGTTTGCTGGCGGGAGGGGAGGCTGCCTCCGATTCGGCTGGGGAGGGCGGCTGAAAGGCCTGAGCGGCTTCTCCTCCTTCCTCCCCCAGGATCTTCATCATCTGGGCCATCAGCAGCTGGTTCCGCCGCGGGCCGGCACCGCCGGAGCAGAGCAGCGCGGGCGGGACGCCGCGGGCCCCCAGCCGAAACCTCTTCCCCAAGGACACTTTAATGGTAACGCCGGTGGAAATAAATCCCGTGCCATCCCTTCCTGGGCGACGCGGTGGCTCCGTGGCTGGACCCGCTGCTCTGGCTCTGAGCTGGAGAGAAAATCTCTGAGCTGGAGCTTAAATCTAGCGGAGAGAAATTGCCACCCTGCCTGTGGCTGCAGCGTCCTGTGTCTCGGGGGCTCAGCAGAGCACCGAGCTGGTTTGGGAGGGGGTTCTGTGGCTCTGCGGGGCAATTCGGGTGCCGGTATCTCACCGTCGGGCTGCGTCATCCGCCGGTGGCCGACGTCCTCCTCTCTCTGCAGGACCTCTACGTTTATATCTCGGAGCACGAGCACTTTACAGACTTCAATGTCAGCTCGGCGCTGTTCTGGCAGAAGCGGGATCTCGTCTACGGGGACTGGACCAGCGGGGAGAATGCCGACGGGTGCTACGAACACTACGGGGAGGTGGACATTTCACAGGTGGGTGCAGCTGCTGCTCTTCCTGGGAGGTTTGAGGCCGGGTGGGTGATCATCAAGGGGCTGGTGGGGATTGTCCGGATCACGCTCAAAGCCATCCTGGAAGCTCTGAGTGGAGCTGAGGTGTGGAGTTGCTGCAGCATTTCCCTGCCATCGTCTTTATCCGTCTCCCCTTCGCTTCGGAGGTTGAGTGAGACCCTGTGGAGTGGACTGGTGTCCCTTCCAGGCGTGCTGCAGAGGTGACAGGGCTCGAGGCCATTGTTTTGGTGACCAGCTGCTTCCGTATGGGCTCGATGGCCGCGGGAGGACAGTTGGCATCAGTGCCAGGAGCCGTAGGAAGGCAGGCGCCGAGGTGGGGATGTGACAGCCGGGCTCCGACCACATTCCAGCCGTAACCGCTCCTGTCGGGGTGCGATTTCAGAGCGTCCAGCAGAACGGCTCCATCTACGTCCACGTGTACTTCACCAAGAGCGGCTTCCACCCCGATCCCCGGCAGAAGAACCTCTACAGGCGCCTCGCCACCGTCCACACCTCACGAAGTACGGCCCTGGGGCGGGAGAGGGAGGAGCACGGTGGCCCGGGGGTGGTGCTGGGGAAAGGGAAACCCCAATTCCATGCCAAAACAGGAGCCCAAAGGAATCAGGCTGAGCTCTGGCTTTGGCAGATGCCTCCGGGGAAGATTAGGGTAAATAATCTGTCTCCCCACGGCCTGAACTGGGTGTTTTCTGCACTTGGAATTTGTCTTTTGTGAACCTATGGAGGAAAAACCTCTTTAAATCTGTGCAAGCTCTTGGTTCCCATCCACGTGCGGGAGGGGGGGGTCCCTACCTGTATGGGGGGGTGGAACAATGTCAGCATTGAGAAGAGGAAGGAATTGCCAAGTTCAGGTCTTCCTGCAGGACAGGAAGATCCAGACACTTCATCTCAGGTGTTTTCCTCCAACAGTGATGTGATTGTCTCAAAGGTTTGGCTGTTAATCTCGTTTGTTGTCCCCAAACTACAGCCTTTCCCTGCGATAACTGGAAGATCTGTGAGACAGTCCCAGATTAATTAGTTCTGGGGGGTGACGTGAGGGAAACGGGCTTCTCCAGTCAGCGTGTGCCTGTCCTGGCTGTAGCCTCCTTAGATTTCCTTCCCTACCCTCTTGTGTGGAGCCAGAACTGCTCACTTCTCTTTCCTTCCAGTGATCAACAAATACAAGCGCCGGCGGTTCCAGAAAACCAAGAACCTGCTGACGGGTGAGACAGAGGCAGACCCTGAAATGATCAAGGTAACCAGCTCGTTTTTTGGTTGTGTTTTTTTTTGTTTGGTTGGGTTTTTTTTTTTTTGGTGAGGGTATTTTTTTTTCCATATTGGTCAAAGTCCTAAATATTCAGGTGCCTTCCTCTGGTTGCAAAGCTGTCGGGAGGTCCTGCAACAGGTTTCCCCCTCCTGCCTGGGGTATTTTCCTCCTGCTCTGTGGAGGGGGAAGAGGATGATGATTTCCTTGGAGTATTTCTGGGACGGGAGGGTCAGCTCAGCCCCGTCCCGCTCCCCCCACCACTGCTTTGTTTAAGGGCGGGGATGGCGGTGGGCTAACGCCAGGCGAGATGGAGAGATGCTGGTGGCTTGTGCCCGTCATGGAGCCAATGGTGGTTTTGTTGCAGAGGGCAGAAGATTACGGTCCCGTGGAGGTCATCTCGCACTGGCACCCCAACCTGACCATCAACATGGTGGACGACCACACGCCTTGGGTGAAGGGCAGCGTCCCGCCCCCCCTGGACCAGTGTAAGGGCCGGGGTGGCTTTATCCCTTCTTGAAGGATGAGTTTGGGCTCTTGTGGGGAATGGAGGCTTGTTTCCTCGACATCAGCATCACCCCCACCTCTGGGGGAGCTTGGGCTGGGGTTGGGTGGCCTCTTGGTCTCTCTGAGGGGGATGACGGTGACCTGTCACAGCTCCATCCCCTGCTCAGCCCCTCCCTCTTGTCTTTGCCCCGGCTCCAGATGTGAAGTTTGACGCCATCAGCGGTGACTACTACCCCATCCTCTACTTCAACGACTACTGGAACCTGCAGAAGGACTATTTCCCCATCAACGAGACCCTGCAGCGCTTGCCCTTCCGCCTCTCCTTCTGCCCGCTCTCCCTGTGGCGCTGGCAGCTCTATGCTGCCCAGAGCACCAAATCCCCCTGGAATTTCCTGGGAGAGGACCTCTACGAGCAGTCGGATGAGGAGCAGGACTCGGTGAAGGTGAGAGCTGCTTGTGGGCTCCCCTCCTTCCAGCTGCAGCCCCTGTAGATCAGGACCTCTCTCTCAGAGCAGCTCCTTCTCCCACGTTTCATGTCTTTGCTGGAAGGATGCTCGGGGGCCTGTCCTTTGTTATGATGCTCCTTACTAATTACCTTTGCGATGTGAAGAGGGAGGGGGGTACAGTGTTGCACAGGGGAAGGGAGCTTTGAGGCCATGACTCTAGCAAGCACTTAAACCCTTTGTGCTCCATGGTGCCCTGGGACTGGCTGGGTCCTCCTGGATCCTCCCTCTCCACCCCGGTGTGGGATGGAGCCATCAAGAGGTTTCTGACGCCTGTTCCAGGTTGCTCTCCTGGAGACCAACCCCTACCTGCTGGCACTGACCATCGTCGTCTCCATCGTGCACAGCATCTTTGAGTTCTTGGCCTTCAAAAATGGTGAGCGCTGCAGCGGGACCTGAGGGGACCTGAGGGGAGGGATGAGAAGGTGGTGGGGTGGCCCCAAATCCCCTCTCCCTGCTCCAGTGTGACTGCTCGGGCCCCTTCCCCACAGACATCCAGTTTTGGAACAGCCGGCAGTCTCTGGAGGGGCTCTCCGTCCGCTCCGTCTTCTTCGGCGTCTTCCAGTCCCTTGTCGTCCTCCTCTACATCTTGGACAACGAAACCAACTTTGTGGTGCAAGTCAGCGTCTTCATCGGGCTCCTCATCGACCTCTGGAAGATCACAAAGGTCATGGACGTCCGGGTGAGCAGTGGTTTTGGGGTGGGGGGTGTGGGGGGGGGTGGAGGTGCCTCGGTGACATCTTCCCCCTCTCCTTTGGCAGCTGGACCGCGAGAACAAGGTGGCCGGAGTGTTTCCCTCTGTGACCTTCAAAGACAAATCCACCTACATCGAGTCTTCCACCAAGGTGTACGACGATGTGAGTTGGGGGGTGAATGGGGGGGGCAAAGACCTCACCGCGCGTCTCCTCGCTCCGTCGTCCTGGTTTGAAGACTCCTCCCCAGGGCAGGACGTGCGGTGAAAGGGGCTCCTTGGTTTTTGGGAGCCAGGGCTGGGCTCTGGCTCCTTCCCCGTTGATGTTGGGTGTCGCTGCCTCCCCAGATGGCGTTCCGGTACCTCTCCTGGATCCTCTTCCCCTTGCTGGGCTGTTACGCCCTGTACAGCCTGCTCTACCTGGAGCACAAGGGCTGGTACTCCTGGGTGCTGAGCATGCTCTACGGCTTCCTCCTCACCTTCGGTGAGCGCCCCACGTCCCCCAGGGCCTCCTTCCCGGGACGGGGGGGACACGGGGGCTACAGGGGG